AATAATTGTATTCAATTCAAAAGCAATTTTTCTGAGACAAAAGCAAACGTTTATCAAGAAATGAGTTTTCGCCCTAGTAATTGTGAATTGCTATGAATTTGTTGAAAATCATGTTATGTTACAGTAGACAATGTCTTACAAATTGTCCCTACTTTTGTTCTTGGTGTACGTGTGCGCTGCTTGGGGCAGTCAGCTGTGCTTCCGTGGACAGAACTCCTACTACAGCCACGTAAGTTCCAACTCTTCAATGACGATCCGCAATCGTTGAGCAGTCTACTTAGTTTTACAGTGCATTTCTCGATGTCAGAATCACAAGATGAATACTCAGAAATGGCGCGACTGCTTCGCCCCATGCTTCGACGAACTCCATGTATATCCTCTTGTCGAATTGAAAACGCAGCATTTGGTCCGTTGCGCTGCAAAACGCTAATTGAAGGTTTTTTTCGAAAGAAAGAAATAAACTTTACTGTTGTGTTTGTAGGATTGCATCCATTATGTTACATCTACGCTCACAAAGTGTCTTCCGGTTGGCCATGAACCAGTGATTTTATTTTTCTTGTGAACGTAAAAACCGATGTAAATTGTTTGTTTTTGGTCAAGATATACGATTAGAACATGTTGCTACAGAATTCTGTGAGTACTGTATTCATCTTGAATTGCGATATTGATGACACGTAGATGACTTAACGAGGCATGATCTTCACAATTAACACATTGAAGTTCAGGCATAGAGAAGCGTCTAGATGTGATAGTTCGAATTGATGAGAGAATCACATGTTTAAAAAACCTACTATCTATTTTCAATATGGCCTACAACTAGGTAGCAGACTTCGGAATGCGCGCGTAGTAAAAATTAGTACTTAAAGTATTAAGACAGACTGGAAGCAGGCTCCGGCATGAGGTGGGCAAATGTCATGCTGGAAATTATTTTGGATGGAAAGGGAGTATCGTAAATGTACATTTACACGTAAATACATTAAGTTGTTAACTTGCTACACGTACAATCAAAAACGCGATCTTGCTCGCATATTATCTTCAAAAATCCACATTTTCATTAAATTGTTATCAAGTGCCCAGTTACGGCGCACACATAACAATGTGACAAAGAGTTTGAAATAAACGGACATGGAAGGAGGAGCAAAATGCAGAGTATCCTGGGAAAATTATGTGATTGAAGATTTGGCAACCTTTTTTCCCAAGAATTTCTCACTAGCGCATGATCAAATGGCTCGTTTGCAACGCACACATGAGATACATCAAATCGAAAGTTTGTTTCTTTCCGTGTGTTTTGCTGACCGAGGCTCATTTTAGATGATTACATACTGCTGACATAAGGCCTCGGGCAGAGTTCACGCGATTTGATCGTCGCGATTCAATTGCTACAAGACAATTGTTAAGGGCCGGGCATACTTCACGCGATTTCAGTCGCGACGCGATTTGGCAATTCGCCAGAAGTCTTCGGATCCAACATTAGCAAACTGCACATGCATAGTGTGTATAACTTACACGGATTGATAAAATGCCCTATCTTCTGCGCATCTGAAATGTGCTTATAGTGAGTTATGGACAACTGGATTGTTGCCAAATCGCGTCGCGACTGAAATCGCGTGAACTATGCCCAACCCTTTGCGAGTTCATCGCATGCCGATCAGCTTGCATTTCGGTTGTGATACTTTTCCAGCTCGAAATTTTTAAATGTAAAGGCACCATTAAATTCACTGTATTTTGGTTGTGCAAGTAATTCGAACGGACGTTTGTGCAACATCGATCTGTCGGCCATAGGTAGGAAAATGGAGCTAACATGAACGATTTAGGTTACTCAAGAGCCCAACGGACACTTAGGGAGGCTTACTGGCCTAACGAACAAAAAACAAGCTATATAAGCAAAATAAGGTGATTCACAAGTCTGATCATAGGCCAACTTCTACCCGCAGTACTAGTTGCGCTGTCCGTCGTCTGCGCAGCCTCATTTCGAGGGTTTCTGCGACCAATGATGGGTGATGGGGCCTACACTGTCTGAAATAGCAATGACGCTTGTCCTTCCGAGGAAAAAGCGCGATTCAATCAAACAGCCTATGCAGCCTTGCGGGATCAAGTGGGAACTTCGTGAAAGTGGATAGAGGCGAAGCGAAATCGTCTCATCAATGTCTGTTTGCCACCCTCGTGCTGAGCCCTGAGCAAGGGCTCCGGATACAATGATACACTGTACTGCAATACTGCAATTCGTTGCTGCGACGGAACCGATGCACAAATTCAGAAGTGTAGGAACTGAAAAGTTTTCTTCAACCTTTTCTTCTTTGCCTTTTTCATAACTAATCCATATCAGACAGTGTTTTATGTTCTTCCGTTCTTTCATGTTTCAGTTAAAGATTTTGAATGCACAGTGTGAGATTTAATATTTTGATTACGCTACCATGTTGTCCATTTAGGCCGAGCAAAATATGTTTTCTTTCATTATGTTTTTTAAACAGCAAAGTACTCGCCTCGAAAAGTTGATAGCGGCAGGGCTTCAAATATTTAAGCCCTCAAACACACAACCGCTCACGCTAGGCTACGACAAACTTGAAAATTGCTTTGCAAAAAGGGAGGGTCATCGCCGACATCTCCACAGATTTAAGAGGGCAAAACTACTTTCTTACCCAAGATTTCCTTTAAGGTAGGAAAGACTTGTTATACATGACCACTCACAACTTGGAGCATTTTTAGCTTTTTACAGAAACATTAGCTCTAAGACTCTCGAGGCTCACACGTCTTTTCACAAGCTAAACTTACTCCCCAGTAAAATCTGGTACTAGTAAATCACTATAGTTGTATGATTACAGGATCATTGTATCCGGAGACAAAAAAATACATTGTTCCTTTGATAATGAAGCAAAGGGACCTTAAGAAAGAAGGTTATGTGTACATGATATACTCCCTCTTGAACTCTTACTATTAGGTTGATGCATAATTCCTGCACCAAAATAGGTACAGACCGCAATAACTCGAATCCTATATCCTATATAGATTCCCATATATCTTTAGATAGCGCAAACGTAGCTCTACAAGATAGTGCTCAAATATCTTCACCAGCTTTGATCCACGCGAAGTTTTGGGTCGAAAACTGAAAAAAACCATGCGTCCAAAAACCTTAAGACCAATCAAAACAAAATTGTAACTTCGTTAAAAAAGCTTCTACAAAATTTCTTTTTTGCTCACGCGTAGAAATTCCATGTAATACATCTATCTATGCGGTTCCTGTATTTTTTTCTCAGCTAGACGATAAGGAAACGAAGTTTTTCGCGTTTTTGCCAAAGTGCTTAGATGTTCTAGTACTAACAGTTGTATAGTAGATGCCGTTAGCAGTAAAATTTTACATTTTCAGCCTTCTAGAACTGCTAGTTCACGAGAGATGACGAATCTAGCTCTCTTCATCCGAATTTTTTCTTGCCTAGTTGCCAAAAATTGGATATTTCTCGTAGACCAACTGCTGTAAAGAGCTGAAAATTCACACTCACGCTTCTAAGGTCCTATAGTATACAACTGTCAGTGTTAGAACATCTCAGTATTGTTTTGGAAAAAAACGTAAAAAGTTCTAGCTGAGAGAAAAATACAGCAACTGCATAGAGAAATGTCTTATACGAAATGACAATGCATGAGAATGTTAGGAATTTTGATTTTTCTGAACGGACTTCCAATTTTTTCTTGGTTTTTTGGGGCGCTTGGATCTTATTCGTTTTTAGCTTCAAACTTCGCTTGGATCAAAGCTGCTGCAGAACTTCAAGCACAATCTTGTAGAGTTATGTTTGCTCTATCTAATGATATATCGAATTTCATCTGGGATGTAGAATTATTCCAGATTATTGCAGTCCTTACCTATTTTGGTGCGGAATTATGCATCACCCTAATAGAGCAGCCTAACATTCACAAGTCTCCTTCAAAGGATTCCTCCACCGTCGGCGCGCGGATGTTAGGGCGGTTCTTTGATGCCACTAGTTACTTGTATACTACTAACCTCGGTCGGCTTGCTCACCTATTAACACAGTACAATAACAATGCCGAGGTTTAAGAAAGAGGAAACTTGGAAATCAATCAAGAAAAAATTACGAACTTCCTTCTTGCTTTTACTAGCAATGTTATATACGCATACAACCTCATTGTATGCATTCGTTGTATTTTTTCACGGATGTAAAATGCGAAAAATTAATGATCGCAACCTAAAATATATAAGCGCCCTTGCTTCGTTCTATCGAATGTTACCCTAGGTCTATTAGGAGAACGAGAACGGCTCAATTTGTTTGAAAATGGAGTTTACTTTTAGTACAACCTAATACTTCTCAATATAAATTTTTGGCACCAACGAGTTCTGATTCCCATCGAAATCTTCCATGTGTTTGGTAGGTAATGGTTTACCTGGTGATTACTGAAGTTTACTCATCTGAAGTTGTGAAGGTGACTTTCAAACTTAGTCAAAGCTGGGCAAGGTAAAGATGAGACGTTGGCCAATGGAATATGGAGCCCGTCAATGACCATTTTAAGAAATTTACGGGTAACTCTTTGAACGAGCTTTTAAAGTATTTTGGTATGTCGTATCGTATTTATTATAGTTGTATTATGTTTCTTCAGTTGTATTCAGAACTTTATCATGAAAAATTTAAATCCGCTTACACTTTTGTGTAGGAATACAAGTTTGTTTTGGTTTCAGAAAGGCATAAAGCATAAAACTGAAAACCAAAGCAAAACTGCAAATTGTTGATGCAAAATTTTTAGTGCAGGAATATGTTTGAGCTATTTCTAGAAGGCATTAGGCCTATAATAGGAATAAAAGGTTCAGCGCGGCAATGCATTTGAAAGCAGTGACGGACCTGATTAGGATTTCGTAATGTACATGCTTTTGCTAAGCCAAGGAACACTTTAAATGGTTTCTAATGTTGTTGATGTGGTGAGAATTACAAAATGGCATAATGATTGCATAGATCAACTTAAATAGCATCGCACTTGTATGATCTTTCAGGGCTCCACTTCTGAGGGGTGCGCTCTTTCTCCTTCTCCTGGCATATAATCCAATGTAATTTGTTATTGAACAATCAGTTGCTCTTGATTATAGTTCTTGAACAGAGGAATTTATCGGAAAAATTCCAAACACCTAAAGAGAATTGGTGCTTGATTTGATAGCTAGAAATGGATTCTCTGCTTCAAAGAATCCGGAGCCAAAAAATTTTTTTCGCCATTCATGTATCAACTGCCAATTTCATTATACATCGGCCAAATCAAAATCCTTTAAAAAGGCTCTTTTATTTATATCGTGGCATTAATCTCAAGAACTTTTTTCAGTTTTCAAGCATTATGACTGCAATGTTCAATTACCTCATAGTTGTTCTTATGTTCATCGTTGGCGTTAACAGCTACTATAAGCTCGGAGGTGGGCTTGTTGCAGTCTGATTTTTCAAAGTATCATTGGCTATGCTCTGGGTTCAGGTGGAATGTATGGTGGTGGAGGTATGGGAGGTTACGGTGGAGCACACGGTGGAATCCACACTCCCAACGGTTGGAAACGCTGATCGGTCATCAACAGATCGATCCATCATGACTGCTTTAATTTCTTTCTATGAGTTAATCTTTCACAATAAAGATGTCCTCTAATCGTTGTTATGCAGAGTGTCCCAAAAGTATAGATTGTTCAACCATAGTTGACCCGTCTGAAAATAATGTAACGCAATTATATTAGGTCATTCCGAAAGTAATTTCGCTTTTTTCAAACGGGCACCACATTTGACGGAACAAAGGTTTTTAGGAGGTCTTAAATGCATTCGATGCAGCATTTCATTCTCTTTCTAATGGCTGTAAAATTTTGCAAAACAGTCAATGAGCATTCAGGAAATAACCAAAATCTGCGACCCATGCTTTTTGAGATGGTCAAGTTTCACGATTTTTTAAAAATTTCATATCAATCCTCAGAAGGAGTTCAAGTAACGATTCGATAGAGTAAACATTGTAGAATACAGCACTACTTTTTTCTCCTCCTCGTATCCCGCCGTAATATTTTTTTAAATTTTTTAACAGAACTATCGGGTTTTGGCAAACCCACCTCAGCCACAATCGCATCAAACATCATAATTTTTCGGATTTTGAGGCTACCAAGGTGGTACTATGAGTCAGCATTAACTTTACGAGGCAAGTGAGGGTGTACGGGTTCGAAATATCAAATTTCGAGTTTTTCGGGTACAGCCTGAGACTCGTTAAAAAAAATGACTTATGATGATTTCTCCCCGGAAACTAAACGAATCGGAAACAAAAAACACCTACTAGAAAAAGGAGAAAATGCTGCATCGAATAGTGCGCGAGCTGCCTTCCTTCTAATGTTCTACGAGGATTTAGCTGCTTAAGTATGGAAATCGGTAGTATCAGTTAAAATTCTGTTAAAAATGTATGACAAGCTAAGGAAAGGAGGAAAAAGTAGTACTGTATCCTATAAAGTCTACTCTATCGAACTGTTACTGGAACTCCTTCTGAGGATTGATATTGAATTTTTGAAAAATCGTGAAACTTGACCATCTCAAAAAGCATCGGTCGCAGATTTCGGTTATTTTCTGAAAGCTCATTGATTTTTTCGCAACAATTTCATGATCTTTAGAAAGAGAATGAAATGTTGCATCGAATGCATCCAAAATCTCTTAGAAACCTTTGTTCCATCGAATGTGGCGCCCGTTTGAAAAAAGCGAAATTACTTTCGAAATGACCTAATATTATCGAATAGCTGGCTTCACCTCGTCAAGTTCATAAAAAAAAAGTCTTTGGACTTTGCATTCAGACAAAGTTTCACTATGAAAATGGAAAATGGGGCATTCGTCACAAGCACACCGTTAAATAGTGAAAAGCGAACTCAACAAGACCGTTGAGCGCGGGCATGAGTGATGATATTTATAAAAATAAAGGCCAAAAAATTGAAAATATGGGATTGACCGAGCTTAGAACTCTACTTTCCGTAAACGCATTGGAACTCCCAAATGCTGCAACATACACTTGCATATTATTAAAGGCTCCTTTTATCCTTTCAGTACCACCTACAGCATGCTAGTGCACAATCGAAGCTGAAAGTATTTTAGCTCACGGCTCGATAGAGAAAGTCGCTTGGATTTGCTTGGTTAAATCACATGATGGGCCTTTCCATTGAGAAGAGGTGCTCCTCAAAACTTTCAGAATTGCGTGGAATGTATTTGACGGCCTAGTTTGCTAGAATTGAGGTTGGGTCAACTCAGTATCAGAAAAGCTAAATTCGATGTGTCATGATATCATATTATAGCAAACAAAACTGTCGAGGAACTCCAAGATTTATTGGAAGAGTAGATTTGCCGTTACAACATCCCTTTGTAAATGAGTAACTTTTCGTTTCTGTCATTTTTGGTCAGCCACTTTATAAGTGCTCTTTAAAAATTTTCCGTTTTTTTTTTCGTAAAACAAGAGGCAGAGCTTGGTACAGGTGGCTCATAAGCAAGCTGGATATCATTTTTGGGACAAAGAGCAAAAAAGCTGTTTTTTATGAACCGAAATTTGGCTTTTTTCTACGTTTCGTTTTCTTCAATCATTGGGACATTTTGGGTAGGGGTCAAAGGGGCTTCGTAGAAATCTGCGAGAGTGAGAAGGGGCTTCGTTTTTTGCCTTGAAAAGCTACCCCGTGCCAAGCCCTGACAAGAGGTGGTAATTATACTTTTATTCGCTTGATACTCGACACAACCAGCAAGGAGCACACTGAGGAATGAAAATCAGTAAACCATAATGCTCCGTAGTTACCAAATATAAGAAATTCCAGATACCCGATAAAAACGAATTTCCGCCGTGAAATTCCTACAGACCTGTTTGCTTGAGTATACCTTTCCTACAGTGGCGTCCCAGGATTTCGGCTCGGGGGGGGGCGCGGCAAAAATTTTTTTCTAAAGAAGGTGCGTGGCGTTAGCCACGCACTCCGAAAAAATTTTGGGGGTGCTTCCCAAAATTTTTTCGGGTCCCCGACCCCTAAAATCTAGAAAAAGGGGGCGTGGCCTCAGCCACGCCCCCGAAAATAATTTTTTTACAAGGCTAATTTGAATTTTTAAAAATTTTTAAAAATTATTTTAATTATTTACAAAAATAAACAAGTCACTTACACATTTTTATAACCCATATAAGTAACTTTCAAAAATTTCGCGACCCATTCTCGGGGGGGGGGGGGCGCGCCCCCCCCCCCGCCCCCCCCCCCCCCCCTCGGTACGCCACTGCTTTCCTACACTACGGCTGGAATATAGAAACAAAAATAAGTTAAAAGTGCGAATATGTTGCGCTGTCCGGATTATCCGAGATAATACCAATGTTTTTATCGAGAATTAGCTCATATAAAAATGAAAATTATAAGCCTACTTGAAAAGAATATTATGGAATATATCACTATATATCATGAAATCAGTCACTGTGAAGAAACTCAAGGCAGCTTTAGAAGAAGCATGCCAAATCTGGTTTTCTCGATTTCTAGTTATGAAAAAATCCCAAAATTTTGAATATGATTGTCTGATCTTTTGCAAAGATGCGATTATGTCCTAGGGTTTTCATGCATTTAGGGCCTTTCAAAAATTAGCGTCGAACTTCACGCACCTCAAACTAAGGCGGATAGTTGCCAAATATCTTGTACAACTTGCTTGCTCTAACAAACGGTACCCCTTCCACTTTTTTGGTGCTCCGCGATATTGCTTGATAGCAATAATGCGATTTTATTTGAGACACACAATGTAGAAACCACTAACATACTTAACTACGACAAAAGTATGTTCTATCTTAATAAGAAGAGTTACCCTACCCATTTTCAATGTGTACCGATGAGAGAGATAGAACATGTTGGTCATAGAATTGTGCATCGGTTGTTTCTTAACCTTAGCTATTAGGTGTTTTAGTTGACTTGATGCGTAATTCCGGGTTGACAATACTTCGCTATTAGATATTATTTTGCTAGCCCTCTTCAAAGTCCGGAAAAAAAACATAATCAACTACTCGCTCAGGAGTTCACAAAAAAAGATGAAGTGTCACTTTTTGGACACAGTTTTAACCAGGGCCCGGCAGGAGGTGGCATTTCAGAATTTTGAAAACGATATCCCCTTTGAAGCCAAAATTTCTTACGACTTCCCCTTTGACCCTATTTTTGGCCCCCGTAAGTCCCTGACAAACAGATATACACAAATAATAAGATGGGCGGCCTCAGCGCTTATTATAGTAGTACTACCTGGCTTTCCTGGTTCAGCCCGGGTCATCAAGGTTTCAGCTCAATGGGTTCATCCGCAAAGGAATCTATAAAAAAACATAGGGTCAAGATTTGCACAAACTTTGACGTTTATATATCTAAGATACTACTCATTTATTAGTCAGCTGCGAACCTTTACAATTTACAATAACCGATTGCGATTGGAGCGCGCTTTCCGAGGCCGATCATAACGCTGTGAACCCTATTTGGGGCTGTATCGAAGCGGTGCCTTGGTGGTTTTGGAAGCGGATTTGAATATATAGTAATACTCTCGACCTAGTCCACATTTATGTAAAGAAATCCGGGAAATTATGTGAATGGAAGCAGGGAGCCACCCCAGGTGGCTCCCAGGTGGCGCGGGAGCCACCTGATTTCGAAAAAAACTTACCATTTTTCAAATTCACATAAGTTTTTCATAATTCTTCATACTTTTTTTGTGCTCATGGTCCTCCAACTACGCAGCGAATTTGGTGCCATATCGTTACTTGTGCATTGAAAACGAGCCTATTTTGTTATTTTCCTCTTACAAAAATTGCGATTTGAATTCCCGCCTGCGGGCAGGCTGGCGATCGGAGCATAGAATCTTCACATTACTGGAATCTAAGTTCATAGGACAGTAGCATCAACAAGGAATGATGATTAAAGGACGATATGTGCATTGTTTATCGGTAAACAAAGGGGAAGTCGTATGGGGTCCGGGGCTCCGCCTCGGACCCCAAAATAAGACTTCCCCTTTGCTTTTTCGGGCCAAAAACTATATCCAGCTTGTGAAAGCGCCGCCCCCGCCGGGCCCTGGTTTTAACCTATAAACACGGATTTACGAGCATATAGAAGAAGAACGAGAGCCACTTATACACCAGACGGTACCTCACTTCTTTCATACATGCCTCGATCTATCATATTCAAATAAGCAGTTGAACTATCAATGCATGAAGGCCCTCTTTATGCGGTACGCGTTTCTTTCGGGTTCATTTTTGATAATAACCGTCAATCCAAGATACCTCTAACTTTTTACGCAGGAAGACAATTTCTGTACAGTTTTCCAGTTCTCCCACGGTGTTACACGATGTTCTCTTCCCGTTATCAGTAAATAGTTACCCTCCAACATGGCAAAATTTCAAAGCTTAGTTATTTAATTTTCCAAGCTTCGTTTCCATGCCGTAATAGATTAGAGATGAGTAATTTCGTACTTGGATGCACACAGGTTTTTTTCTATTTAACAGATAACATCAAAATAATCTGCCATTTTAAAATTTTGCAATAAAAAACGACCTCTCACATTTGCGTACTTTGAAAAAATTATGCTATCTTGCTTCTCCGTGACTTTTTTTCATTGAGAAATTTCTGC